TGATCCCCCTGCCTCTGCCTCTTCAGCACATCCTACTGGCATGTGCTACCACAACAGGCACTATGAGAGAAACTGAACTATCAAACTGCACAGGTATTTTTCAGGCTGATGGATCTGTGCTAATATGCTTTCAACAAGGCCACACAGCAGCCTACAGAAACCATGAGCATTGTCTCAAGAGTGTCCACGTTTCCCCGCCCTCCCTCTTTATGGCCAAGATCTCAAAGTTGTGCGAAAATGACTCAGAATACCAAAATTCAAAGACATTAACAAATTTAAATTCAAAGACATCATCAATCACTAATTTTAAAAATGCCCTACAGGCTTGCCTACAGCCTTAATCTTATGGGGAAGTATTTTCTCAACTGAGGCTTCCTCCTGTCCGATTACTCTAGCTTGTGTCAAGTTGTAATAAGTCTAGCCAGCATGGAAATGATCTGTTTGTTAAAAAGAGGCACAGCCACGTCTGTGCTTCAAAGAGATAGTATTAGTTCTATGCAGCTTAAGAACAAAACAGAAGCAGAAGCAGAGGCAGCCCTGCTGTGAACTGTTAGCACTGTCCTGGACAGATCTACAAGACTGATCAACAGGTTTCAAAAGTATAGAAAGGGCTAATTTTGTTTGTTTGTTTTTCATGAAAAAAAAAATCTGTGAACAATATTTGTCATATTGAAAAGAAAAAAACTCTTGAAGGTTACACAAGAAACAGGAGGTGCTGGGAGAGTGAGGACCAAGTGAGGGGACAAAGTGAGAGACAGGAGGGACTGGAGAATAAAGATTCAGTGAGAGGACTGTGGGAACCAGGGCTTTACTCTAAAATTTACAGATGTATATGACTATTCAAAATGTTAAGGAGAAGACGTGTATTTTAAGAGACAGTCAGAGGAACAGATTAGAGTCTTACAGAGCCTGCCTGAGGGGGCAGTAAAGTTTCCCCAACCAACAGAAAGCCAGCTCACAGCATTTTGTCATTGACCTCCAGGTTACTTTCAGAAACATGAAAAAAGAAATAGAGGTTGGGGGAAGACTGGAGGAGATTAGCCAATACTTCTCAGTGCATCAAGGAAATACACAGGGTAGGGGAACTCTAACCAAAGGACCAAGTATCCAGAGGATGTCTGTGACGCTGGCTGCAGGAAGGAAGAGGAGTAACAGTGCACCAGCTGTTTATAAGATGTAGCAGTGGTCTGGAACTGTGAACCCTGGCTTGCCTGGGGGGCAGGGCCACAGAGAACAACCTAGCCTGATTGGGGGGGGGGTCAGGTGACAGCAGGAAGTACTGAAGAGGACACTAGAATCCAAATATAAACAGTATTCATGATTATGTCCTTCACACGAAGGATTTTGTTCTCTCCAAGTTTCAAATTTTACAAGCAGTACCTCCCCTCATCCCATTTTCATTGCTGGGCAAATTGAAGGGGGGTAAACTGTGGGACCACTGTCAGTGACTCCATCTGTGTCAACTCATCCACAGGAGGAAGGTACATGCAGTCCACACTTGTTTATATTCAACTACAACAGAAGCCATTGCAGACAATGGCTATTTACCCATAACTAACTCCACCTTTTTAATAACAGAAGTCTGCTTCCAAACAGCCCTTACTCAGCTACAGAAACCAATTCTCCCCCACAGTCTTTGGTGCAGGAACTGATCTCCAACACAGTTCTGGCTGGTGAGATGTAAGGCAGCGAGCCCAGTGAATTAACAAACAAACCCTAGCTTGGTATGGCTGTGTCTGCCATCCTGGCATGTAGGGGTCTGAGATTGGAGGATTGAGCATTCAAGAACAGCCTGGGCTACGCAATGGCTTACCCTCGCCACTCCCTTCTTCCTTGTGCCATGGTTAGCTGGAGAGAGAAAACCCTTCACAAATGTAAAAACAAACACCATCTGCTAGGGATGATGAAGGAGAAAGCAGGAGCCTGATGACATCTTATAGTTGCCACCCCAACCTTTTCTTTACCCTGAACTTTCCTTATTAGACAAACAAACCCCTAAGGTAAGCCACTTGGCATTTGAGTGACAGAGGAAGGAAGACTGCAGCAAGTTTGAAACTTGGGTCAAGAATTCTAGGTTGGCTAGAACTACATAATGAGACTGTCTCAAAAAAAAAAAAAAAAAAAGATAGTAGGTAGATAGATAGATAGATAGATAGATAGATAGATAGATAGATAGATAGATAGACAGAAATAATTAAAATTTCTGGTTCACTTTCCCAGTGAGCCCTCCTTATCCAATGGGGTTTTAAATCAGCCATTCTAGAACTTTCTACTCCCTTAAAGTCTTCCATTTTTCTCCACAGCCAGCACTTGTTTTATGTCTGCACATTTTCCCCCTCACATGGAGTATGAAGTCCTCAAGGTCAGTTTTGTCTGTTCTGTCCACAGTATGTCACACAGCGCCTTGAACACAACAGATACACAACTCGTGTTTGTTAAAGAACACACAAAGTCTTCGTAGGCAGCTCAAAGCAAACATCTCACAGTAGCAACACTAGCTTTTGGGCCTCAGCCCTCTGTAACCACATTATGGGCATTTCTTGCTCTGCATATACTAACCTTTTATCTGTTGTTTCCTTATTGCTGTTCTCAACTTTTTCCACAGTGCAAACTCTGCAAACCTAGGGGTTGGCCACACAGGTGGTCCTCAGTGAGAATGACTGAGTGCAAGATTGTAGATCCCCAATCAAGCTCTGCACAGTGGAAAAGCTATTCAAACCAAAACAGCAACCTAATTTAACTGAAAGTCAACCCAATAAAACGTGATTCAAATACTCTGATTTCTCCATTTTAAAACTATATGAATTTAAAGGCAGTGTACCCAGCCTTTTCTACCTAACTATAAACAATTGCCATGATTCAAAGCCACCTGGACC